CCTGTGTGGTTTTGGGGTGAGGCAAGGGCTGGGAGCCCAAGCTGCAGGGTCAGCACCTGACACAGGCAGGCGGTCAGAGCTCTCTGGTGACCAGCAGCTCTGCAGGAAGAACCTGGGCTGGGAAGACATCAGCCTCGCCCCTTGTAAGCTGTAATTTTTCAGTTTCATTGAAGTGCTTGGCCAGGAGAATCCCTAGTAACAGGTCCTGTTTACAGACAGCTTTGCCATGCAAGCAACACCTCCCAGTCCTTCGGTGTCACTGGTTAATGACACCGTCCGCTACCCCATGTCCCTGGGGGTCCTTCCAGCCCATGTGCGACCACCCAGGCCTCAGGACTGGGACCTCTGAGCTTGGGACTATTTAGGAACCAAGCTGGGGGGAGAAGGGAAGGAACCCTGCTTGAATGGAGCTGAGCTCAGCCTCAGCACAGCTGTTCTGTAAGCTCCCTCCCCGAGCAGACACAGGTCTACAAACTCAGATGCTGGAAACCAAAGCACCCTACCAGGTTTGGGCAACTGCAGTTCCCACCAAAGGGAAGTCCTGCCTTCAGCAAGGAAACAAAACGGACCCACGAGACGCACCCACGTGCCTCGTAGGTGAAAGGAAAGGAAACAGCTTTGTCTGTGCTGAGACAGACCTGCCACTCCGCTCGGCGCCTGCTCGCCGAGCCCCAAGGTGTCCTGTCTGAATCTTGGAGGGGACGGGGGCTGCGCCAGACAGCGATGTGCTCCCAGCGCTGACCACAGAAATTATACCACATAGCAGAGGAGGCAGAACTGGCAGCTCCTTCCCTGCCCCTGGGAGAGACGGATGTACCCAAAAGCTGATGGCAGGAGGTGCTCGCAAGTCTCTCTGCCGCACACCACCCTGTCTCAGCCCCTGGCCAGGACCTCCGAGCAGCAGGGCTCCTGCCCAGCTCTGCCAGCTCCGCTGGGCCTTTGGGCAGCAGCGGGACGTGCAGCTGCTAATTCTGTTTCCCACCTCTACTTTATTTTTGCAGTAGAATAGGTGGGAAAAAAAAATTCAGAAGCAGTGCTCTGATGAGTCACTATAGAAATAGCTCTGGGAACATAAAAGACTCTTTTGTGTCACTACAAAGTGCATTATTGAGCTGGTACAGCAGACAGACTAACACAAAAACTACTTACCCAGCTGCAAAGCACAGCGGTGCCCTGCCCTGAATTTAAGCAGCACATGTAACCTGGTCCATTCTGGTTTCAAGCTCAAAGGCATCAGGTCGATCCTGCGGGTTAGCAGCCAACATGTCTTTCAAGAGCTGCTTGATCCCCTCAGACATGGAAGTCCTGCGTTTCTGAGGGATGTGCAGCTCCATCTTTGGGTTTTCTAGCAGCGCTTCCCCAACGGGCACAATCTCGGTCCCCTGCTTGATATAAGTCCCTAGCAGCTCCTTCTTGGTCTCCGCATCGATGAAAGTTATCCTCTCAATCATGGCCCAGATGATGATGCCGAGGGCGAAGATGTCAGCCTTGGCAGTGTAGTGTCCCTCCCAAACCTCGGGCGCCATGTAGAAATCGGAGCCGCAAGCCGAAGACAGCCAGTACTTGTTCACATTCACATTTTTGTTCTCATGCCCACCCTCCTTGCCCCGAGCAGTCAGGCCAGCGCAGACCTTACTCAGCCCGAAGTCGGCCACTTTGAGAACAGGGGTGCCAGACTTCTCGGTTATCAGGATGTTGTCTGGTTTCAGGTCTCGGTGGACAATATGGTTCTTGTGCAGGAAGGCAATGGCGCTGGTCAGCTGCAGCATGAAGCTCTTGTTTGTCGCTGGGTCAGGTCTTCGCGAGAGCACGTACTGGTTGAGGTCTCCTCCTTCGCAGAACTCCATGACGAACCACAGGTAGCAAGGCTCCTCCGCATAGCCCAGGATCCTCTCACCTAACCGAATGGGACAAAAGGAATAGTCAGTTTTTCAGACACATTACAAAACGTCCACACTAACTCAGCATGGGGAAGGAACAGCTCTGGTTTATGTACACAGTAAAGGCCTTAGGAACGTGACCGGGACCTTCGCACTGCAGCGTACCAGCAGCGATGCTGCACTGCTGTGGCTCCAAGTACTTTAGCATCCCCTTGAGTGCCACACACCAGCACCACATTTACCTCAGCCCACTGCCCGGGAGCCAGCTCAGGGACCTGTTCCCAGCAAAGCGCAGGCGTGCGAGCGAGACCGAGCACGTGTCTTCTCGCGTGCTTGCAGGGAACTTGGATGCAGAGGGTTATTTTCCTGCGCTATTGTCAGGCAATTCTCCCCAAGCTCTGAAAGCCAAAGCAGCAGAGACTAAAAGCACAATTAGCAGTGAGTCTACAGGGAAAAAAAAATAAATCAGTTCTATGTGAATGCCAGCTCTCCCACCTGAGCTCTGCTGCAGAAGGCAAAAGCTGGTTTATACCTTACGCTTTACTGCTATAACTGCAAGTGGGGAGCAAATGACCCCCCTTAACGCTGTGCCGGTATAGCCTCGCTAAGAGCAGTTGCACCAGTGTCAAAGCCTTGCAGCATGCTAGGTCTTCTGAGACTAAATTTGTGCATTTAAGCATCGTGTTTGTGCTAGAGGAGCTCTGCCACTTCATACAGCTTTCATTAAGTGCCAGCAAGTCTTTAAAGAGAGGAAACTGGAGGCCCAAGTAGCAAACAACGTTTAAGTGCAATCTCAGCCACGCTTACTGATATAACTGTTGCCTCCGTCGTTAGTGCTGCTACCCAATATTATGCCCCAAACAGCCGCTTCCTTCACATCTCATTGAGCTCTTCAAGCTCAGACCATCTCGGGTCCAATTCATTGCATCTGGGCTTTACTCCACAACCCCCCTGATAAGGCAAACCGCTCTCTTGTACATAAATTAAACACATGGAGAAATGCAACGGCATCATACCAGCTAATGGGGCGAGGTCTGCCACCGATGCTCCCCAGGGCATCGTGGCATCACGACTCCAGGATGCAAACCTCGCTGCCAGACCCCAGGTCACCTTCACAGAGCACCCAGGTGACAGACAGAGCCTGCACACACAACCAGGGCATCGTTTTGCTCCAAGAACTAGGTTTGTTTTTTTTCTTTTTTACCCTCAAGCACCATTAATGGAGAAGCTGGAGGATACCACTTGCCTCTACCACAGTTAACAAGTCACACAGATAAACCCGAGCATTTTGAAAGCAGTTAAATAACTCCACCCATCTGACAAAGCTGGGTTTTGTTTTAGCAAAGCCTTAGAGAGCATCTGGGAAAGCAAACATCCAGCAGCAGGTAAAGCCAAGGACTGCCAGGGACACCAAGCCCTGCCTGCCATGGTCAGTGATCGGTGTGGGTGGGAATATTGGTTATTTGCACAAACAGTCTGTATCCATGGCTACTGCTATGGAAATGAAAGTCTGCACAACAGCAGGATTTGGCTGCACCTCCCCACCCTCAGCAGAAGATGAAGGTTAGGTCTGAGGGATGGGAGGGACCGTGAACAGATACAGGGCACTGGGTGCACTCTGAGGGGCCAGATGAGACCCCTGAAGTGCTGGAGGGGGGCTCAGCACACAAGCCCAAGGACCAACTGGGAGCAACACAGGACAACTCAGCTCTGGAGAGCAAAGCATTGACCAGGAAAAGCAGCTTCTCCGGTGCGGGCCACCCTTTGGTGAGACGAGCATGACAGCATGGAAACTGCAGCAGCAGAGACTGCGCATCCCGGGAGCGGAGACCTTTGCACAGCCAGGAGCACCCCAGCTCACACCGCTGCCACCACCTCGGGTTTGCTGAACCCCAGCACCACTGCAGGGGGGCACAGGGCTTTGCTTTCCTGCCCCCCTCAGCACCCACGTAGCCCCAACGCGGGGAGTAGGAGGGTTTGGCTCTTCTCAGCCAGGAACTGCAGCATGACGGGGAGCACGGCAGTGCCCCGAGCCCACACATGGCCAGGAGCATCAAGCCATGGGCACGCAGGTGGGAGGGTGAGAGCATTCACACAGCAGCGCTGCTGATGGCCCCTTCCCGCCGGGAATCGGCCCAAACACCAGCTCACCAGCCCCAGGACCTGCTGGCTCTGACAAGCCAAGGTTTGTTTTTAGCATAATGAAGGCTCTGACTTAAAACTTGGCCCCTGAACCTCAGCAAGTACAGGGAGGATGCTGCTGACCCAGTGGTAGCTGCAAGCACCGTGCGCTTCACTTTGGGTGGAGCGCTGCTAGGAGAGGCTTAAGCCAAGACTAATATTTCCTCATTTTCTTTCTATAATCTGAAAGTGTTTTAGTTGTTAAATCATCTTCCTGCCTTCAAAACAAACAGCTTTAAACATAAAGAGCTGGCAAAACGCTTCCTAAAGACAAGACGTTAGCAAACCCAAGTCAAGCAGGCAAGAGGTGAAGAGATGCAGATGACAGACCAGACCTGCTCTCCATCACGACACGAGCATCCCCGCGCGCTCCCTGCCCAGACACAGGACGGCACACGCGAACCTCTCCGTCCTTGCAGCAGCCCTTCCACGACCTATCCTGGGAGCTCATTAACAGCTTGCTAATTTGCTTAGTATCACAGAGGAAAAAAAAACCCAAATATCTAGTGACAGCAGAACCAGCATCCCACTGCTGCCTGTAACCTCTGACTCCCTCCGTCCAAAGATGCTGTGCCATAGAGAGGCAAGCCAGCGGCACGAAGCCTGGGTGCTTGGGTTGAGGGTAACATGCGCAGGCGATGCCAGGGCAGCCGTCGAGTGAGGCTGAGCACGGGTGGGAGGTTGGTGGCCCCACGGGTGACATGCTAGGAAGCACCACCTCACACCTGTTCACTTCATGAGGCAGCTCTATCACCGCTACGGGTTAGGAACAACAAGAGGGGCACGTGGCCGTGCACAAGCCCTGAAGGCGCACGTGTATCGGGGCACCAAGCACATTGCTCAAGTATGTGCCTCTCCTCCAGGCTCAGTGCCGGGCTCACAGCTTCCTTTTTGCACTCTGCCTTCAAATTTATTATTCCACATCTCATTAAAACGATGAAGGTTTGGGATCTGCGCTGTAGCTGAGACCCAGCATCACCCAATATCCCGACAGTTGTGCTCTCGATTCAGAAAGTCTCCGACTAATCCCCCCCTGTGCCCTGAGCCCCGGCGTGTTGGCACAGCATCTGTGCAGGCCCGTAAATAGCCCAGCTGCGGTCGTGCAGAATGGCACGGCAGCACAGCTACATGCCGGCTACCTCGGCCGGAGCGACAGCAGGGCAGCATCACGCACAGCAGCGTGCTGCGGGCAGGGACGGAGAGCAAGCAGACCTGGGAGGCTCACCTAGCTCAGGCTTTTGTTTTGAAAATATTTATCGGTGCCGTATCAGACCCAAAGCTTGGAAATGCAGCGAGCACAGCCTCTGCCCGAGCCTGCAGCCAGCAGATAACGTAGCCTGGAGGGCAATCAGGAAGAAGGCAGATGGAGGGGAGAACAAACATGCTCCAGTTTGGGGAGTGACACTGCTGCTCTCCGGCCTGGGGATGGAGAGCCCAGCTCAGAGAGCCCAGCTCTGCTCCCCTCGTCAGAGGGCTGCAGCAGGCCCGGGGCAGGCAAAGCCCTCCCCACAGCAGGGAAGTTGGGGGGCTCTCTCCCTGCCTAGAGATGGGGAACACCTATAGCTACCCGAGAGCTTTCCCCAAGCCATGCCACCTCTTCTCGGGGTGTGCAACACCACAAAGAGGGGCAGGGAATCCCTGTACCTGTCAGAAAGAGCCTGACTTGCTACAGCTGGACACACACCCGAAGGGAAGAGTTGGCTTCTCTCCTGGGGAGCTGTTCCTGTGAGAGCACCTAAAGGACCCCGGCTATACAGAAAACAGGACACTGCCCTCCTTGGGGTGGCTCCCTTGGGTGGCTGTGCATGGAGCCTGAAGGGAGGAGGAGGATCAGGTCTGCATGGGGGGGAGGGAAGAGCCAGGCAGGTCCGAACACGTCCCCCCAGGAGTGCGGAGGGGACAGGCGAGGCAGGGGCAGTCTGAGAGCCAGATGTTTGCTCGGAGGATGGGTCTCGGGAGCCTTGGCACCCGGCACAGGTTTGGAGGCTCCCTACACTGGAGGGCTCGGCTGGGGGGGCATGGGGAGACTGAGCTCCCCAAGGAGTGTATGGGAGGGGAGCCCTGGCATACCAGTTTGGGGAAGGGGGGTTTGGGGTGAGCTGGCTCTGGCTGCAACAGGCTGGGGGGCGAGGGGACATCGAGGATACAGGGCTCTGGTATTT